AAGATCCAAAATATAGAGCAGCTTCCATATGAGGAGAGACTAAAAAGATTAGAGCTGTTCAGTTTAGAAAAGGGACAACTAAAGGGAGGTATGATAGAGGTCAATAAAATCATGACTAGTGTGGAAAAAATGAATAGAGAAGTGTTATTTTCCTCTCCCACAATACAAAAACCAAGGATCACTCAATGAAATTAATAGGCAGCAGGTTTAATACAAAGTAAACAAGAGGAAGTATGTTAACCTGTGGAACTCATTGTCATGGGATGTTGTGATGGCCAAAAGTATAACTGGGTTCAAAAAAGAACTAAATAAATTCATGGAGGATACGTCCTTGGCTATTAGCCAAGATGGTCAGGGATTCAACCCCATGCATAGGGGCTAGCCTAAACTCTTGACTACCAAAAGTCAAGAAGAGAAGACAGGCTTGGAGCACTCCAGCTGCCCTGTTCTGTATACTTCCCCTGAAGCTTTGGTACTGCCCACTGTAGCAGGCAAGATACTGGGCTACATGGACCACTGGTCAGACCCAATATGGCCGCTCTTGTGTTTCTTTTGTGCTGAGGGATAAGGTGCCTGGCCAGTTCCATCTTCTTTCTAAGAAGGCTTAGGAAGAGGCAGAACTGATGGGGAGGGCAGATGTTTTCTCACCCTCCTCAGCACATCAAGAAGAGGCAAGGCAGTGGCAGTTGTCTTTAGAAAAAGAGCTTCCCTTACCCTGATGGTAGCCAGGAGCTGCTTGTGAAGCCACCAGTAAGCTCCTTGGTCAACATTTAGCACTAGGCAGCTCTGATCTGGATGGGTGCTCTAGTGGCTAGTGGAATACAATTAATTAATTAATTAAACAAAATATAAAATAGCTTCCTCTGCTTTTTTCCTTAAGCTCTCAGAAAACTGAAAAGGTAGGCTCTGATGAGTGCATTTGCAGGAGCTGAGCCATAAATATCTTTCCTTACCAATTTTGTTCCTTTCCCTTAGGCAAGTACTGATTTTTTTAAATGAAACAAACTAGGAAGGTTTTATTTATGAAATTCTATTTAAATTAATGCCTTATCATACCAAAGCATCTTTGTGGAACAGCATCAAAAAATCCCACACAGTGCTAGGAATAAAAATGCATAGGAAACAGGGAGAATAAAAACAAAATATTGGTTTTTGGTCCCGTACCTCCTCCCAAAATGTATGATTTATTTTTAATTCCATAACAATGAAGTGGTATATTAGCAAAAAGTAAAACAGGACTTGCTTCATCAAAAAGCTATTTTACACAAATAAATCTGGAGAATTAAACAGCTAGCTATGTCTGCATTAGATACTCTGAAGATAACAAATAGAATCCAAAGTGCAAGTAAAATGCAAATTGAGATATGGGAAAATACTTGAAATATTATGTGAAAGCAGTTTATTTTAAAAATGTAATGTAGTCAAAAACCCAACTATCTATCCAAAGACAGTTTGATGGAAAATTTTCAGCCAGCCCCAACCATAGCATCCAAGCTCACCTGTACCTTTTGAACAGTGACAATATAATATCAAGTAGGGTAGGGTATTCAGTCTTTACCACTTCCAATATTGTGCAGAACCTAATGTGTTTTGCAATGGTATGATCCTGTGGGATGAGAGTCCATGTCACTCGGATATAGAAATAACTATTTTTTTTATATCTCAGCGACATTTCTTTTTACAACTCCTGGCTGATGAAGAGCATCAATCCCAAAAACTATCCTTTCAGAAGTATAAAGCACTCTTAGTAGTGCAAATAGGGGTTTAATGTATGTAACCTGGGGTAACAGACACTTAATAATGAGAGATCCTCAAAGTTGAGCAGTATTAGCACCCGACAGACATTTGGTGTGATGCTGTGATATTCTTCATTATCCAAAGGATGTAAAATGTGACACATTCTGTCTGCTAAAAAACTATTTTAAATGTTGTATGTGAAAATCTGTGAGTCTTTTACCTATTATTACTACAAGTAACATCTAGGAGTACTATACATGAAATATTTTTCAGTTAATTTACATTGCACATTGAGCAGCCCTTTATAGGAAAGTATTTTCACTATCTCCCTGTATAGTCAGTTAGTTCTTTTTCCCTGTTATTTGTTAGTCTTAATATAATGGAGTAGCACCCATGAGCACCCTTTCTGATTGGGTGTGTCTGCAGTCTTTAAACAGCCCTGGACCATATCCCCAGGGTTTCTTCCCTGGAGGCAATGGTTTCACACTCTTGGTCTCTTCAGGCCCCAGCTCTCCAGCTGGGCCTCTTAACTGTTCAGTTCCCCTTCTGGGGATTTATTGCTGTATGATTATAGGCCACTTTCCCAGTGGCCTATGTGTGGGGGACCTGCCCCCCCCCCCACTACTCCAGGTCCTGGCCCAGGGACCCTAAGAATAGCAGCCACATGCTGCCACGTCCCTTTAATGAAACTATTTCAGTTCCCTGGACCACTTCCCTGCAGCCCCAGCCTTCACCGATGTGTCACCCTTTCTGTAGGGCTGAAGTCTTGTATTCAGTCCCAGCAGCCCTCCAGAAGTTCCTTCTTGCTCCCCTGGTCACTGCCAGTACTGAGCTGTCCATGGTGCTGCATTTCCCTTTGGTCAGCCAGAAGCACGAGCTGCACTTCTCTGGCTCTAGCAAGGAACTGACTCTGGGCTGCACTGCAGCTCCTTTTATACTAGCCTGCAACCCTCTGATTGACTAGGCCTTCACAGTCTCTCTAGGTCACTCAGAGGACTTAGCTCTATTGCTCCTTTCCTGGGATAGGTGTGGCAGGATCCTGAGGCATCCAGCAAGGGGTTTCTGGGCTTAGTCCACCCCGTCACACCTTTACACAGCAAAAGGGAGAGAGAAGCAATTTTTAAAATAAAAAAAAATGAAATGAAATACTGACTTGACCTCTGCTGAGGGCCTATATTGTGTCCCTGAGGTGCATACATAATTCTTAGTAACTTTGAACAAGAAAGAAGTTGCCACAGTGCAAACATTGACTGTGCAAGCTTTCCCACACCATTTGTCAATGAAGCCTGTTCCTGACCTGCAATATCTTTATTATTCCAGTGAAAGGTTTCTTCTGAGCAAAGTCTGTGAATCTGGCTGAAATTAGTTGATTTGTTTGCGGTTTGGTAAGGTGGACAAACGGAAACTACGATGAAGCCATCCCACTGATTCTCAGCTGTGATCCAAGTCAGAATGTAAAATTCTTTTTAAAGGGTAAAAGGCTTATGCACTTACCCACTGGGGCACTTGTCTTAACCTCCAACTCGTGCACACAACACAATGGTGCAGAGTAATGTGAGCTGAAATTGTTGTTTTTCAAAACAGTTAAGCATCTATCTGATGCCATATTTACATTGGGGCACTGCAAGGAACAAAGAAGAATTCCTCCCACATCTCAAGGGTGAGCTATGCATTGCTGGATCAGAGAAAGTAATTTGAAATTTTTTCTGTAAATATATTTTCACTGTGATGTAGGACTCCTGTTAATTATTGAAAGAATTGCATGCCTAATTCCCATTGTACATCACTGAAAAGGTGCCTAAAGATGCCCTTCTTAGGCTATGTATACACTACAGCTTAAGTCAGTATAACTTACTCACTCACAGGTGTGTGAATAAGCCACCCCTCTGAGTGACATAAGTTACACCGTCCTAAGCGCTGGTGTGGACAGTGCTAATGTCGGTGGAAGAGCTTCTCCTGCCGACTCAGCTACCAGCCACTCGTGGGGGCTGGAGTAATTAAATTGATGGGAGAGCTCTCTCCTGTCAGCTTAGAGCATCTGCAGTAGCAGCACTACAGTGGCGCAGCTGCAAGTGCTGTAGTGTAGCCATAGCTAGTCTGTGGATGGCCCTTGGCCATGGAATACACTACCACTAGATATCAGGATGATTACAAGTTTCTCTACTCTTAATGCCGGTGCAAGATACAACCCCTTTAAGCAGGGCTTTTCCCAGTAGTGAAGTAGTGTAACAGCCTTTGCAGACTGGAACCAGGTGAGTAGGAAGCTCAAAAAAGGGAGGAGCATTAGGTTCATTTTAGGGCATATTCTGGTGTGATATAATGCTTACTCCTGTATCTAGGGTGAAATCCTGGCTCCATTGAAGTCAATGGAAAACTCCCACTGACTTCAGTGGGGCCAGGATTTGACATCTAGTGCCTAGAAGCAAAGGTGCTGTGTGCATTAGAAATGCAGATAGATATAAAAACTGGTGAAGCAGCATTATTTTCTCATTGATGCAATTATTGTTTACTTTCTGTTACAGATTTGATAAGAAAGACCTTTACTGATTCCTCTTGGAGTTTGTTTCATTTCCTTGTTAGATTAAAACGCCATTCCCAGCAGTCACATGTCTCTGACATAAGCCTTAGAGGTCAGTGTAGGACTATAGGGCTCTCCGGAAAATGAGAATTCTGCTTTGCAAAAAAACAACAACAACAAACAAAAAACACCAAAGATTTTGGAATTTGGTTTCATTCTCTTGGTCTCTCTTTGGTTTTGACCAGAAATTCCATTATGGACCTGAGAAATCTTCCAGACAAAAAGTTTTGGTTTCCCGACCAGCTCAAGAAGGCTGTCCATATTTTTTTCTAAAATTTGTCAGCCAGAACATGGAAAACTGATTTTTTTTTCCAACAAAACTTTTTTCATTTTCATCAAAATTTTCAAATTTTTGCATTTTGAAGCAAAGAGCTTCATTTTCTAATCACATCTAATGATGACAGCAATAAAATGTTTGTACTGATGCTTTATTTTATTGCTAGACCTGCCAGCTGTCAGAGCTGAAAGGAAGACAACCAGTTCATCACAGTCAGAATTAAAATGTGGGAAGTGTGGATGGGGCTAATGGTCACATCAATAACATCTTCATAATGTTGAACACCTTGGTTTTGATCATTTCTGAACATGAGATACCAAAGCACAAACCGAAATTTTCAATAAGAAATGTAGAGATGACACTAGTATTAATGTTAGATTTTTTTAAAAAATAGTTGAGTCTCTTTACCTCATTATTGACTTCTGCAGGCTTTTTCTTTGCCTCTCCTATGTCCAAATAGCTTGGGGAAGAGAAAAGAATGGTATAGGTTACTTATAGCTGCATTTAATCTCAACAACAAATATTTTTTCTTATATTTAATTAAATTAGCATGAGTAAAATAAGATGTAGAGAGTTTTCACTTATATAATTATAACCAAAGTTTTATACTGAAACAAACTGACCACTTGCAGCACTGAAAAGAAACCATGCCACAATAGCATAAAGTGCTCTTAATTCAGGTTTCTAATTAAAAAGTTTACCAGATGCCTACAAGTCAGAGACCAATACAAAAGAGAGGAGGAGTCACCAGCTAGAGTCAGGAACCCAGTCCTTGTAAAAAGCACAGCCCCTCACTAATCCAGTTCTTAGAAAGAGGCTCAGTTACTACTGTGATGAGGGACAGTAAATAGATTAGATGTATAGGTGTTGTGCTAGGATTCCTGTCAGGGTGCTAACTCTGGCCCCTGCTCAAGGATTCCATCTTTCTGATCAGCCTCTAGTACAGAGGTAGGCAAACTACGGCCTGTGGGCAACATCCGGCCTGCGGGACCATTCTGCCAGGCCTTTGAGCTCCCAGCCGGGGATGCTAGCCCCCAGCCCCTTCCCTGCTGTCCTCCCTCTCCCGCAACCTCAGCTCACCATGCAACCAGCGTTCTGGGCAGCAGGGCTGCGAGCTCCTGCCAGGCGGCGGGGCTGTGAGCTCCTGCCGGGCAGCACGGCTGCGAGAGCTGCCGGCCTGCCCCGGTGCTCTAGACTGCACGGCGGTGTGGCTGGCTCTGGCCGGATGGTGCGGCTGCCAGGCCTGGTGCTCTGAGCAGTAAGGGGACAGGGAGCGGGGACTTGGATAAGGGGCAGGAGGTTCCACGGGGCAGTCAGGGGACAGGGAGCAGGAGGGTTGGATAGGCATGGGAGTCCAAGTACTGTAGTGCAATCTCTTTATCATGAAAGTTGAACTTACAAATGTAGACTTATGTACAAAAAAAACTGCATTCAAAAATAAAACAATGTAAAACTTTAGAGCCTACAAGTCCACTCAGTCCTACTTCTTGGTCAGGAAATCACTCAGACAAACACGGTTGGTTACAATTTGCAGGAGATAATGCTGCCCGCTTCTTGTTTACAATGTCACCTGAAAGTGAGAACAGGCATTCGCATGGCACGGTTGGAGCTGGCTATTTACATGCCAGATGCGCTAAAGATTCATATGTCCCTTCATGCTTCAACCACCATTCCAGAGGACATGCTTCCATGCTGATGATGGGTTCTGTTTGATAACGATCCAAAGCAGTGCAGACTGACGCATGTTCATTTTCATCATCTGAGTCAGATGCCACTAGCAGAAGGTTGTATTTTTTTGATTTTTTTTTTGGTGGTTTGGGTTCTGTAGTTTCCGCATGTGTTGCTCTTTTAAGACTTGTAAAAGCATGCTCCACATCTCGTCCCTCTCAGATTTTGGATGGCACTTCAGATTCTTAAACCTTGGGTCGAGTGCTGTAGCTATTTTTAGGAATCTCACATCGGTCACTTCTTTGCATTTTGTCAAATCTGCTGTGAAAGTGTTCTTAAAACGAACATGTGCTGGGTCATCATCTGAGACTGCTATAACTTGAAATATATGCAGAATGCAGGTAAAACCAAGCAGGAGACATACAATTCTCTTCCCAAGGAGTACAGTCCCAAATTTAATTGACGCATTATTTTTTTTAACGAGCATCATCAGCATGGAAGCATGTCTTCTGGAATGGTGGCCAAAGCATGGAAGGGACATACGAATGTTTAGCATATCTGGCATGTAAATACCTTGTAACACCAGCTACAAAATTGCGATGTGAACGCCTGTTCTCACTTTCAGGTGACAATGTAAATAAGAAGCAGGCAGCAGTATCTTCCGTCAATGTAAACAAACGTGTTTGTTTTAGCAACTGGCAGAATAAGAAGTGGGACTGAGTGGACTTGTAGACTCTAAAGTTTTACACTGTTTTGTTTTTGAGTGCAGTTATGTAACCAAAAAAAATCTGCATTTGTAAGCTACACTTTCACAATAAAGAGATAGAATATCAACATTGGAAGGGACCTCAGGAGGCCATCTAGTCCAACCCCCTGTTCAAAGCAGGACCAATCCTCAGACAGATTTTTACCCCAGATCCCTAAATGGCACCCTCAAGGATTGAACTCACAACCCTGGGTTTAGCAGGCCAATGCTCAAACCACTGAGTTATCCCTCCCCCTGTACTTCAGTACTTGTATGAGGTGAATTGAAAAATACTATTTCTTTTATCATTTTTACAATGCATATATGTGTAATAAGAAAAATAATATAAAGTGAGCACTGTGCACTTTTGTATTGTGTTGTAATTGAAATCAATATTGAAAATGTAGAAAAACATCCAAAAATATTTAATAAATTTCAATTGGTATTCTATTGTTATAAGTGCGATTAATAGCAATTAATTTTTTGAGTTAATCGCGTGAGTTAACTGCGATGAATTGACAGCCCTAATTAAAACCTATATTCCCACACAAAAAAACTTTGATAAGGTGACGTTTGAACTGCAGTACGCATTGGTTGTTTAACTGTGTGAAAGTAGAATGAATTATATTGTTAAAATAGAATGGATTAAAGAAATGCTGTATGTTCCTTTAAGCAGGAATAAGGAATGTTGAATTATAGTTGTCAGGAAGAGAAACATTAAGGTATGAAACAATGGGTCCACTTAAGCTGATGGTGGGATATTAACAGGAGATCGGTAACAGATAGTAAGGAAATAAGATATGTATGTCTAGCCCCAGGTAAACTTATCTGTTCTGCTTCCTTTTGTTATCTTGTTAAGTTCGCGCCCTTTTATCTGTATAAATAAGATAGTTTGAGTCTTGCATGGTGCTCACATTATCTGGGTGTATTAGCAGAGCGCTTTGCTAATAAACAGAGTGGTCTGACAAATTGTGAGTCCTGAGTCTGACTTTGACAACTGCATATTGCCTTTCAAGAAAATTAGAGTTAAAAAAAAAAAACACCTCATGCTTAGGAACTTGGGGTTGGACTCCTTGAACAAAGCACCCTAACTTAACTCTGCCCACATAGTTATACGCTGAAAAACTAAGAAAAATATAGGTCTCCCATGTGTGCCAGGCACCAGGCACAGCGATTTTGGCTGTAACTCTGTGCAGGAACGTGCAATGGGGCATGTGCTGGAGCCCAGGATGCTGCAGTGGGTAGTTGTATCTCAACACAGTGCTTCATTTTGGCACTTCCTACAGAAGTTAAAGATGAACTGGCAGATGGCTGGAGTTCAAGTGTCTCCTTTAAGCTGTCTTTGCCAGAAGCATCAGATTCATTGGCAGCTGGTCAGTGTTCAATACAGGGTTTTCCCCATTAGCACTTCCAGTTGGAAGACACACATGCATCTGCAGGCAATCATCATTCAGTGCATGTGGCATTTTCTGCTGGGAGTTCCACATGCATCTGCAGGTGAGCAGAGTTGGGTAGAGGGTCTCCTCAACAGATTTTCTTGAAAGCAGCCACAAAAGTATTGGTAGATGAGCAGAGTTTGATACACATCTCCCATTAGCACTTTCTGCTGGGAATCCAGGATGCAAGCATAGTCTCCCAGAAGCATTATTGCTCTGTGGTCAGCGACTGGGATCTGATGTGTCTGTGAGTCAAAAAACTTCTTGTGGCAAAATTTCAAATTAAGGAGGCCTGCATAAAAATGACGTTGCAATGAAAAAACACCATTAACCTGGAAATAGCGATGCCAAAGCACCAAGGCTCTAGAGCAGGGGTCGGCAACCTATGGCACGCATGCCAAACACGACACGCGAGCCGATTTTGAGTGGCACGCAGCCCCCTGCCGCGGTCCCGGCCCCCTGCCCCACTCAGCCCCCCTCGCCCACCGCTCTCCCCTGCGGGGGCAGGAGGCAGAAGCTTGGTTCTGCGGCAGCCAAGCTTCTCCCCTCCCCCACTTCTTCCCCCAGCGGTGCTTTCCTGCCCCGCCCCCTCTCCGTCAGCTGATGGCCCGAGCGAGGGGGAGGGGGAAGAGCAGCAGCGTGCACACAGCTCCATAGAGCAGGCAGAGAGAGGTAGGGATGGAGCCTGGGGGAAGGGGGTTGAACAGGGCATATCCCTTCCAGCCCCCTGCCATGAGCCGCTCAGGGCAGGAGGCTGGGAGCACCCGCCCGAGTCCAGCACCCCAGCCTTCTGCCCTGCACCCCCAGCCCTCTGTTCTGAACTCCCCACACCCCAACACACACCCAGCCTTCTGCCTTGCACCCCCACACACCCCCAACGCTCTGCCCTGATCACTGAACCCCTGCCACACACACACCAGCCTTCTGCCCTGAACCCCATCCCCCAGCCCTCTGTCCTGACCCCTGAAACACACCCCCACCAGGTCTGGAGTCCCGGCCGCAGGCCCTGATCTGCCGGCCTAGGTGAACAGAACCCCAGGCTGATGGCGTAAGATCAGCATTTTAATTTAATTTTAAATGACGCTTCTTAAACATTTT